CTTTATGCCAAAAACTAAGAAAAGGTATTTAAACTTTAAGAAAAATGTAACAGAAATATTTTCTGGACCTTCAAACAAGATAATATTTGTCTGTTTTTGTTTTTCTTATTACACATTTATTGAAATGAAAAATATTTAGTATTTTACTAATCATCACCTCCTTGCATACTGTTAGAGCTCTCGTCCACTAGGGGGCGGCACCGAGCTGTGGCGGCCTCTCCAGGCCCTCAGCCTGTTGCCGCCGTCCTCTGGCGTGCGAAACCTGCTGCTGCTGTCGGACGGCCACATTCAGAACGCTGCAGTCACCTTGCAGCTGCTCAGAGACAACGTCAAGCACAGCCGCCTCTTCACCTGCGGCCTGAGGTGACGATCTATTTCCATTTCATGTTCCTCGTCCATCAGCATGGCTGCAGGTTAGGTTTAGAGTTTGGTTTTCATTCAAACAGGTTTAAATGTCAGTTTCCTTATCCTTTCAGCTCCACAGCCAATCGCCACATGTTGCGAGCCCTGGCTCAAGCAGGGGGCGGGGCTTACGAATTTTTCGACGCTAAAACTAAGCACACCTGGGCTGAGAAGGTGAGTCCTGGTTTCCTCACGGAAAGCGTACGCTATGAAGACTAGTTTCAGCGTCTGTCATGTGACCATGGTGGTTCTGAATCCCGACATGTTCTTAAGGTGAAGCACCAGGTGAAGCGCATGTTGTCTCCCGGCTGCAGCTCCGTCTCTGTGAAGTGGCAGCAGTTCAACTCAAGAGCTCCTCCTCCTCTTCAAGCCCCGAAGCAGCTGCACGCTCTGTTCAACGACTGCCACACGCTGGTTTACGGCTTCGTGCCCCACTGTACTCAGGTGTTTGTCTTCTGGATTTTCCTCTGGTTTGATCAGTCATGCTGTGGGACGGAGAACAGCTCGTCTGCTTCTTTTAAAAGATCACGCCCTGCAATGTTCTGAGAAATTACAAATATGTTAAGAGTTTTCTCTCCAGGATGGAGTCACAGCCAAACAGGAACAGACCAGATGAAGCTACTATGAGAAAAAGCAGAGAGA